GTAAATAATAAAACTTTAAACCAATCTTTGACCAACCCTAAATAAAGTTCAAAATAAAAACCACATTAAAGCTTGGATTATTTTAATTTTTTATCAACCACAAAAGGTTGAGCCAACACTAAAGAAAACCCTTGACCAACCTTAAATAGAAAGATAAACCGACTCTTAGTAGAGCACCAACAATTTTGAAATGCAACCCGAAACCAACAGTAAAAAACCATCAAAAGAATCACTAAACCTTGAACCAACCCTCAATAAACCACACATCAACCCTAAGTAGATCTCTAACCGAACTGTAAACCAATTTCCAACGTAAAATGCACCGGCACTAAATCGACCCTAAACCAACTTGAATCAGCCATTAAACCAACTTTAACTAAACCCTAAACAACTTCAAATATTTTTCTGAACAACATTCAATAAAAAATGGACCAAATTTCGGTAGTCCCCAAACCAGCTCTAATCAAACCTTAAACCAATTCCAAATCAACCCTTAAACTAACCTTAAACCGACTATAAAGAACACCTTCATCCAACCCCACATAAACCTTAAAGCAAACTATATATAATTATACAAATAAAAAAGTCCTATATAAACCCTCACGAAGGAAACTGCAAGCACACCTTATAGTCAACCCCCAAGCCAACTTTAAATTTTCAAAACCAACCTCAAATAAGCCATGAAACGAATGCCAAATAAAGTTTCAGTTTAGCCCAACCCATAACAAACCCAAATCCAAACCCAAAAGGCAACGCATGAATTTTCGACAAATTCCGAATCAAGCCGTGAACCGATTTTAGATAAAACTGTGCACCAACCTTAAGCCAAGCAGCAATAAACTCAATAAACCGTTGACCCAACCCTGAATCAACCCTAAACCAACCCGAAAGAAAACTTAAACACATTTTAAACCAAACACTAAGCACGCCAGAAATAACACCCGAAAAAATGTTAAATAAACATTACGCCAACACTAAATACTGTAAATCCAAAGTAAACCTTAAGCTAACACTAAGCCCACCCAAACTAAACCCTAAATCAATTTTAACTACAATCTCAAAGCGACCTTGAACACAACCCTAAACCAAACCTAAACAAAACCTTACATCAAACCTAAACCAACCCTGAACAGATCTCAAAAGATAAAACCATTCCAAAATACCTTCAGCCAAGCCGAAACAAATCCTACAGCAGCCCTAACGCCATGCTATTTGAACCAACCCTAAAACCAAGCGGACTCCTAGCTAAACCTCAAGCTAACCCTAAACAACATATTGAACCAACACAGATTTCACGCCAGACAAGCGATACACAAACACCATTTATAAACCAACCTTAAACCGACCTGGAATAACTAACCCAACCCACAATACCTTTAACCAACCCTAAGCACACACCAGAGCAGCCCCAACAACACTTCTAGCTGAACCAACTCCAAAACGCCTAAACTGCTGCAGGTACCGTAGAAGTGGTAGCTGCTAGCTCCAAAAATTTCCGATTCCGGCAGAAATAGTTTCTAGCTCCAAAATGCTTGACTTACCATCTTCCAGATCTTCGAGGTTTAACATGCTGCAAATAGCGAGGGAATTGATGCGGCATTGAGGGGGAAAACAAATCCCCAGGAAGGGGGAAAAAATCCTTGGCGCCAACCGGCGCCTTTCGCCTTTGGCTAGACTCTTGGAGATGGCGATGGAGAGAGAGAAACCGGGGCTGCACATCGTGGTACAGTTCCGAATGTTTCAAGGATCTTCAAAGGTAAAGAGTGTCGTGACCTGCAGTTGAGCTCCAAATTTGATAGCATAATTCGATGAAATTGGCCTCGAGGTTCCCTTCGCAACTCGAAGCGTGCACAGACGCTGCCAGCTGACTGCTCTCGACGCGGCTTAGAAAAATTGGACAAACAATGAACAGTTTGAAAACAGTTGGCATCAGTTGGCTTTGTGGATGCGCCGAGCAAAGGCAGTAAATACAGCTAGGGGATGCTAGGGGGCATCAAGGGGCTAGGTGATGAAGTTTAGGAGACAGACGGATTATACGGATTTGTAATGATTTATAAATATTTATAAGGGATATAAGGGTGACCCAAAGGCTACTATTTGTGGGCGAGGGAGGTCACATGGTGGTTTTGTTGAAGTTGGCATGTCCTGCGAGGTGGAGATTTCGAAATGAGCGAGGACAGTAAGAAACAGCTGGCACCTTGAAAGTGAAAGTGATTGGGGAGACAGGATGTGACAAGGGTGTCAAAAAATCAATTATGTAGGTTGTGGCCAAGACGGCTAAGAATGCTAGGCATTTTCCAGCACCAACCCCACGTCCCTCGTACTGCAACAAAAGCTGTAAAATCAATCATGAAGAAATCTATGTGCCTAAGGTCACTTGGCTTGAACTTGTTTGAAGAATGTGAGTGGCAAAGGATGTTTGAATCAGGAAGCCTGGTGGTTGGTGAGCCATAAGATTGTTGACCAGTGCTCACACAGAACGTGACTATGGATGGAGGCATACAGTATCATATGGAGACATTTTGTGTACAACAACCGCAGATGGAAGAGGAAGATGGGGAGCCCCCATCGCGACTGTATACAATTTCAGGGCCGGGCAACAATCAGACATGATCGGCTTTTCTTCAGGTTCTTTCATAATTTTCGTACAAACAGAGTGTGTTCATGTCAAAATGTGCCTATGCAACTTTCTGCAACTGCCAGTGCCAAGGAAGAGATGCAAAAGCACCTCTTGGCGCGGTACCGGCACGGATCCGTTAGCGTCGTTTTCGATGTGGTTCCGCAAGAAGTCTTGGATGAAACCTTCAAGAACAAGGCAAGGGCATGCAAGGGCAAAGAAAAGGATGCAGGGAAAGCCGACCCAATTAAACATATTAAACTGAGGATTTTAGGTAGAGATCCGTGTGAACACTCAAAGACGGCCGGCTGAGAATGCAAGCTGCGAAATTGGAGCACTGAAAGATAGGATACAACAATGCATCCAAATTGTCAAGATGGCTTGGTATGAATTGATATGAATGGCGGGCAGTTTATTTTCTTTCCCACGTCCCGGCAATGACAACTCAGAAAGCGAATGAAAGCGATGCTTTGAGATTTTAGAGCCAGCATTGCTTGGAATGCGAGAATCTCTCTGCGTGGAGGTGGTGGGCCACAGCCATGGCCTGATCACTGAAGGGCAGCAACACGGCGATGAGCGCGAGCGCGTCGTCTATGGAACAATTCCGTTGGATCCGCCTCCGCTGGTTGCCTGTCAGACCCTCGCATCAAAAATCAATAAAAATCATCAAACAAATGTGAAACATGTGTTCGGAATTGTTCGGAGCACGTTGGGGCCATACAAATCCATTCAGCCAGCAAGTCACCAAATATTTTGCATCCCCTTGCCCCATTCTCAGCATTCCGCATTGGACCTCTTTGGTAACACCATGTAAGAACTTCATAATTAATGACTTTAATTCAAAATATTGTGATGTGGTGATTCTCCGTCATTGTGGGTTTCCTGGTGCTTTGATCTAAACTGTTCTGAACGAAAGGACAAAACAGCCACTTTTTTCATCTTTCGCCCCAGGAAAGGATGCAAGGGCTTCAAGGACGGAGACTGACCTGCTAATGCCGGATGAATGGCTGTGGCATGCTGTGGCTGTGATCATTGTGATCTTTGAAGTTAGTTTTCCGTTGAAATTCATATACATATATGTATATATATATATATTATAGTCATAATTAATCTACACCTGAGTATCGCAAAAGCCAGTGTGCGATGAAACCTGCAGTTGAAGTCAGCAGTAGAGTGTCCGACTCTCGGGTTTGTATTGGTGGAACACTTTCCGACCACAATTATATGGCCAGGACACCTCACCAAATCAGGATAACTTTTCTGTGACCCACTTCAAGAGCGGGTACACATTGGTGTGCACTTTTGATGGCCACGGGCCATTTGGCCAACGCCTCAAAATTCCGCAGAGAAATCCGATGAAAGCTCATTAAAGGTCGGTAGATTGATTGTTTGTACCTCCGTTTGCACACTTGTTCATGACTTTGCATCCCCTCGTCCAATTTCTGTGAGGCCATATTGTGTCAACGCGTACCGTTCAGACCGTGCCATGGTTCATGGTCAATGAGTCCGGATTTGACAAGGACACCATTGACGAGGCATGCATCGAGAAGGCGGGCATTGAGAATTGAGCACTGAGAATCATCAAGAACCCACTGCAGTGCAGTGGATAAAAAAACATTGTAGTGGAACCATGTGGAACTCGCTACCAATTATTTATCTTTCTATCATTTTCATTCATTTTCTATCCATCTACTTGCCTATCCATTCTATAGTAATTATTCTATTCTTTTATCCTGTTCTAATTCTGTTCACTTCTAATCTAGTTTTATTATACGATATTCATCTATATTTTTATTCGTTTCTGATCATATATACATATATATATATTATATGATTATATATAATTATATATGTATAATTCATGTCATTATAATTCTAATTCGAATTCAATTCTCATCTGTTCTATTTTATCCTATCCTTGACGTATATATATATATATTATAGAGAGACATAATTATATATATATGCTTGTTTATTTATATTTATGTATATATATATATGTATACATATATATATATAAATATGTATATGTATATATATATACACACTCTCTCTCTCTCTTGTTTATGTGTTTTGTTTGACTCTGTTGGGAGAGTGATCTTTTGTTTGGCTGAGCTCGGTCACTGCCTTTACTCTCCTTCTCATATCTTCTCATCTAGATCGTCTATTCATTTGGACGTTGGGCCGGTCTTGATTTGAAGGCGCTGATCAATGCCTTTGAGAAGGCGGGCATTGATGAGCCAAGTTGCAAGTTTGCTGATCAAGTGGTTTTCTGTCATGATAATTATTAAGATTTATTCAGTCCATTTGTTTCAAAGGTGAAAATTCGAGTGCATATTTTCACAAGAAACACTAAAATATTCATTCATGTATATACTCGTATGATATGATATGCAGTTACATTGTTCATGATCTACATGTGAATACTGCAGTAGATGTTGCGGTTGCAAAAGCCAGTCCTTTGCATAGCTCGTTCAAAAGAGTTACTCAGTACAGTTCATCGTTGCCTTCTCCCTTCACATTTGCATGATGGGTGTGCTTGACCAGCTGGTGCGGATGTTTTAGATTTGGCAGATCAAGTGGCTGAAACCCTTTGGCAACACGCCCCCGGCCCTGACAAAAGCTCGAAGAAGTGACTGCCCGTCCCGTAAATGTTTGATGCCAGTGTTAGGTTCCTAATATTCTCAGTCGGACTTAGAAATGAACAGTACTACTCAGTATTACTCAGTACTCTGTACTGTCCCTTCTTCGTTTTGTCCTTCAAGAATAGCCCTCGCACATCTCCTGCATTCAGGCAGGTTGAGACAGGATTGATCGCATTTGAGAATCACGTAATAAAGAATAACATGTGTTCGTACAACATAGCTGCCTCAAAACGTCTCAGGTTTGATGTTGGAAAACTATTGAAACCCTGAAATCTTCTCCATTCACGCTGTTCACACTTACCTGAAGGCACAAAAAGATGTGGTTGCCCACTCGTTGGAGAACGACTGGGATGTACAAGCTAGTGGAAGCACTGCAGTTTGTCTGCGATTGAGACTTTGATCATGAAAAGATTCGTAGTGTGACTTGCAGGACATGTATATAGTATTGTTATGTATTGTTGAATCGAGTGCCCCGATCGCTACTTTCATTTACTTGGGTTTCAACGAACTCTTGACATCTCTTGACATTCGAACTGTATATATTTGAAATGTGATTCGAATGTATTGTTCGGGCCTTATTCGGGCCTTCCTCCTGGCTTTGTTTGACATTTTCGCCACTAAGGCAGTGGCTGCACTCTTCAAGGGAAACAAGGCCTGGTCAAGCGGGCCAGCGAAGTGGATGTCTCCCGAGGACGATCTGGACACTACACGTTCAATGCATCAATATACTGTACTAGGATAATTCATGTATGTTTATGTATATTTATCTATATTTATTTATATTTATCTATATTTATATTTATCTATATTTATATTTATCTATATTTATATTTATCTATATTTATTTATTATTTATATAATATTTTTGTTTGCTTTGGCATTCTATAGCCAGCCCAAGAGTAACTTGTTCAAAAACTGGTTCGTTCATATTTGTCCAAGTGCTTAATAGAGCCCCTGACCTGTCAAAGTCACGATTGAAATTGGGCCTCTGAGCAATATTAGGTTTGGACAGCCAACGCTGGTGACTCTCGCTGTGCTATTGGCTCAGAGGCAGCATCTCGGCAGAAGAAATATGTGGGCATTGATCTACGTTTCTATCCATTGCGAGAGTTTTTTTTGGGGGTTTTCAAACGCGAAAACAATATTTGTTTCGGGAAAGATTTGGGAACATTAGATGTCATGTATCATCACTAAACGCGTATAATTGACGTATAAAGTATAAAGGATAATTTTTGCGAAAGGTCTAAGAAAGTTCGACGAGGGAGCGGGCAAAAGTGAAAGTGCGTTTCTAGTACGCCTTGCAAACGCAAGCCCATGATGAGCAATAATATGCGGATATCTGTGGAGAGAAGAGATTCATCAGATGTTGTAATACTAGCTGCTAGCTGTATGTTAATTATCATAAAATATCATAAAATACTGTAATCTATGACATCTATGATCGAAGGAAGTTTAGAAGTGAAACTTCCGACAATATGGACAAATGGAAAAGCAGAGGTGGGAAGAGTCAGAGAAGAGAAGAGAAGAAGAAAGAAAATCAGAGAAGAGAAAGAATCAGAGGAGGTGCGCGAAAAGGTATATAGAAAAGTAGGCTCCGGATTTGGGCTCCGGAGGGTCGAAAAGTAGGCTCGCTAAAGCGGCGGGTGCGGAGCCATTTGGCCAGATGAGAAATGAAAAATTGCACGCCGTTGTGGCGCGAAGCACATTCGAAGCCAAGAGTGTCAAGAACTGAAGGTCTCGGACCACTTTTCGAAGTTGAGATGTTGAAAAAGTGCACGCTGTTGTGGCGCGAAGCACATTTCGAAGTCAAAACTGTTAAAGCGGACCACTTTTCGAAGTTGAGATGTTGAAAAAGTGCACGGCGTTGTGCCGCGAAGCACATTTCCAAGTCAAAATGTTAAACACACAACATGTTCGGACCACTTTTGGGCGTTCAGATGCCGTTCTGCGTGGGAGGCGCAAGGTTGTGCACATTGTCAAAAGTGAGCCAAGTGTGAGGGTCATTGTAGCAGTTTCAACGGCGTTGCCAGGCGTGGGACATGTGAAGAGGATCTGCAAGGATGCATTTTCCGTGGCAGGGGCAGTACAAGAGACATGATAGACATGTTCATCAGAGATGTTAGGAGGTCCGGGCGCTGATTTCCTGAGATTGGTTGCATTTTGGAGCATCAGATCTTCAGTTTTGGGAAGATGATTTTGTGTGACAGGTGCAGCACTTCGTATGACCTGGCCTCACTTCTTCTTGGCAGGCGCAATGCTTTAGACACATGGGAAACATCGCAAAATGGCAAAATGCCTTGGCACGAGGCCGTCAGCTCTGCACTCAACTTTCATTATTGAAGGAAGTCTCGCAGAATTGCTTCGTTTTGATATTGCCAGCTTCAAAAATTGAGGAAGTCTCCCAGAATTGCTTTGTTTTTGACGTTACCCAGGTCAACATTGAGGAAGTCTCGCAGCATTACCGTGTTTTTGATGTTGTCAAGTTCAAAAGTTGAGGAAGTCTCGCAGCATAGCTTCGTTTTCAAGCTTGCAGGTAGGCAGATAGATAGATAGACAACTACAACTACAACTACCACTACCACTACATTACTACATTACAACTACAACTACAAATACGAATCACTACGCTACATTACACTACGCTACATTACACTACACTAATTGCACTGCATTACACAAATTACACTACACTAATTGCATTACACAAATTACACTACACTAATTGCATTACACTAATTACACTACAACTGCAACTACCACAACTACGGCTACAAGTGCAACTACATTACCTTACACTACACTACACTAATTACTCTACACTACATTCTACTACACTACAATAAAACTACAACTGCACTACATTTCGCTACACTACACTACACTACACTACACTAAAACTAGGTGAGGGCGCCTCTAAGAGGCCGTGTGTTTCAGCACATGGATATATTTCTATTCAATGATGTTCCAACGTTTCGCCACAAAGAGAGAGGATTTTTCACAGATATCTATATTTTGTGGGTGTGTCAAAAGTCATGGAAGGGTATGGACAAATGAGAGTCACGGTGTGATTTCAATGGTTTTTGTGGGTCGAAAGCCATCATGTTGGAAAAGACAGCTGTACGCTTTTTCTTCTGCGTTGCCGACGTCTTTGTTTCAGCCGCTTTTGCGGCAAAGGTCTCCCAGACATTTGTACATGTCGTTGTGGCAATTTCTTCGCCGCAGAAAAACCCAGACACATTTCATGATGTCTGTCTCATTCAAATAGCCAGCTTTTCTATTGTTCAATGTCTTTGGGATACTTTTTTTGACGTGAAACCAAACACGTTCAATTTGTTGAGTTCCTGCCAAACGCACACCATTGGTCTTTCGAATTTTCTTTGTAAACCATCTGCAGCGTAGCATATATATAACTTGAAGTCCATCATCAATTTCTGACATGATGTTGAACAAAATACTATATGTTATAACCATCTGCAGCGTAGCATATATATATTGAAGTCCATCATCAATTTCTGACATGATGTTGAACAGAATACTTGTATATCAGAAACAACTACCTGGTAGGACACCTCTATACCCAGAACAAACCCACCCCACCCCACCCCACCCGAACCCCACACCATCATCAACGTAACATCAACGTATTAAAACGTAACATCAACGTATAATCAACATAACATCAACGTAGCAACGGGGCATGATCAAAGTAACATCAACGTATCAACAGCGCAAGATCAACATATAATCATGATCAACGTAACGTCAACGTAGCATCCACGTAGACAACGGGGCATCAACGACGTCAAAGTAATCACCTTCAACGTATCAACAGCGCAAGTCAACCCAACACCAACCATCCACGTCCAGCACCCACGCCATGAACCATCAACGTCTCCTCAACGTAGCATCAAAGTATGATCAACGTAACGTCAACGTAGCATCCACGTCGCATCACCTTGCACGCAAGAGACATGAACGTTATCACACCCCACCCCACCCCACCCCAAAAACCTCAAAAACGCACGGCCTCTTAGAGGCGCCCATACCTAAAACTACAACTGCATTACATTACCCTGCGCTGCATCTACAACTACCATTGCAGCTGCAACTACGCCTCAGCAACAACTACAGCTACACTACAGCTACGCTACAGCTACACTACAGCTACACTACAGCTACACTACAGCTACACTACTTCACACTACTTCACACTACTTCACACTACTTCACACTACTTCACACTACTTCACACTACTTCACACTACTTCACACTACTTCACACTACTTCACACTACACTTACACTTAGACTTACACTTACACGACACGACACGACACGACACGACACTACACTACATCACACCACGCCACACCAGGCTACACTACACTATACCACACCACACCACTCCGCACTACAGTACACAACACGACACAACACAACACTACACTACACTACAACACTACACGACACCTTACACTACAACACAGCACAACACGACACTACACCACACCACACCACACGACGCTACACTACACCACACCACAACCTTAACTGCAACTGCAGCTGCAACTGCAACTACACGATGTACCCTACACTACAAATACAACTCCACTACACTACAGTACAACTACAAGTACAACTGTGCTACACCACGTGGGTGAGGTAGCCACTGCAACCATTCCAACCACTCCAAGCAACACAACTCCAACCACCTTTCGGTCCACCAGTGGATTCGCTCCGCCATCCATGCATCACAACAACTCGCCTCTCCTATAGCGTCCTATCCTTGAAAACCGCCTTGTGCGGCACTACTGATACTTACTGTAATTTGGCAAGTAGTGACTAAGATTTAGTCTTCATAAAATAATTTGTTGCCCAGCATGGGGTCCCCGAGAGATAAACTTGAAGTTCGCGAAAGTTTTCCGAAGGTGACATTTCATTTCGCGAAGTATGGCCGTTTCCAGATGAAACTGGCAAAAGCTGACAGTTTGACGGGCGTGCTTGTTTTCTTGTCAATTGCTTTTGACGGCTGCCCGAAGAGGGGGTTTGTGTGGGTGTTCTTTAAATGCAATGAATGCAATGCCCGGAATTCAAGAATGAACATCGACACAGTTTCCTGCAATCTTCATGGGGGCATTCTATGGCGTTCTGCGAGTCATACGGATTTTAGGATCTCACGGCAGCCAGTTCATTGCAAACTTGAATGTATATTCAATTATGACATATACATATATATCTATATACATATATATCTATATACATATATATCTATATATATATATTATGATTTTTCTTTTGTTTTTTTATTTGCATATGTATATGTATATGTATATGTATATGTATATATATGTATATGTATATGTATATGTATATGTATATGTATATGTATGCATATATAGGCATATACACACATGAATATACACGTATGTATCTTGTTACAAGCACCCACACACACACACATATATATATATATATATTATTATATATATATTATTATATATATATATATTTTTACATACTCGTACAATGTATGCGTGTGCATATAGATGCATCAACCTTAAGAACTAAGACCGTAGTGTTTCGCTGGGCTGAGGACAAGAAGGTGATTTTTGAGACCGAGGATCACAAGCCTCAGAGCGAGAAGGCAAGCACATGCACGTTTTGCACGTTGCCTTTTGCAATATATATATAAATAAAGAGGACAAATCTGTGAGCGCGTTCCAGCGCGACCTGCGAACTGAGTCATACAGCAATGCCCATTCTTTCCGAGAATGCCAGCAATGGTGTGACAAAAGGATTAAAAAACAAACAAAGCAGAGACTGGGAGAGTATTTGGTGTTGATTGTTGTTGTTGTCGTCGTCGTTGTTGTGGTGGTGGTCGTCGTTTTTGTTGTGGTCGTTTTTGTTGTGATACAGACATAAACTTTACATCGGTATATACATTGTGTGTATTTTTTCTTGGTTTATCATCGTCTTACGGTGGGGTTGGATGGGACGGGGTCCATTTTTAAATTTAGATAAAACCAACCCGCTTGCTGCTTTGCAAAAAACATTGATTGAGTCGACTCACATGTTTTCATAATTTCTTAATCGCTTGAGGGATTCAAAACGCGAAAATTCCGGACATTTCTGGACGTTTTGCGGAAATTAAGTAATTACATGTTTGTTTCCCACACAGATTGCCAAAATGAGGAAGTAGAGTTGTAAAACATTTTTCTTTTATTTGGTTTCTGATTTTCTTCATTCCTTCTATAGCATATCATGCCACTGCCCTTTTCTTTTTCTAGGTTTTGTTGGGTTCCAGGAGAAGGCACGCATTGAGTCGATGGGCGGAGAAGTTCGTTCCCAAACTTACCCTGCGACCTGGACGCAAGTTTGGAACGCATCGCTGTTCTTTTCACATTGATATGGCCTCCTGAAAACCTGTCGGTAAGTGGGACGTGGTTTACAAGAACTCTTCACTGGAATAGAGAATAATAAGCACAGGCTGGGTTCGGTCAGCTGGTTTGTAAAGATATACTGGCCAGTACCACCAGGCTACAGGGGGGACCGGAGTTGGCGACTCAAGTTTGCGCTAATTTGACTTGAGTTCAGCTGGCAGAGCCGTGCTTGCCAAGCTCCGGTCAAAACATGTCAAGACGTGGTCATTATTATACTTTATTGATATTGGAGCATACAGACTCCCACAGGATCCGAAAGGTGGAGGTGCTATTTCAAACGTTATATTCTGGGCGAATGCCGTGCTCCAGCGAGAACTTAGGATGGATGGGTGAATCATCGCATCTTTATCAAGGGCAAGGACACCAAAGCATGTGCAAACGCGGGCGCTCCCACAGCCTGCAAGTTTCCCCAACTTGGACCCCGTGCAACTTTTGCAAACGGCCATAACATGCTGCATGCGACAGCGTTCAGGACTATCCCGGACTTTGTATGGCCCGAACGTTGGGCGACCAGTCTGTGAAGGATCATGGGGTCGTTGCGACACCAGAGGCAACACGCGGACTGGAGCGCCAGTGATTGTCCTGCATCAAGACCGGTGCTTTTCTGGGGATATGACGTGTTCTGGACGACATCCAACTGTGTTTGTGGTTTAAAGAATGCATTTGAAATCACCGTAGAGTGTGCACTTGTAGTTCCTTGTTCATCATTGTCTTGCGCAATCATTTTCATTTTCTCTTTTTGTGTTCTCCTCTCTCCCTTTCTCTCACCTCTGCAGAACCTGCACTGACAGGTGGTGAAGACAGAAGTCGACCTTGGGAAGAAGGCAGAAGTCCGAATACTGTATAATCGAATATCCGATATGCATCAACATGGTAACTTTGTCATGGCGTCAATTGCATCATTGTACAAGACAGTGCACGAAAAGAACAGGAACATGTTCAGCACCACAGCTCAGCCCTTCCCTCCATATGCATTCGAGGTCTTCTTCATCATTGCCAGCGACGGTCCCACACTTACTTGCGGTTGTTGAAAAAAGATTAGATGATGCGCAGTGAGCTAATTAAACGGTGAGGTTCGTTAGGTGCATTATGTCCCTGATTGTCCGATATCATTTGGTCAGCTTGCTTATGCTTGCTTTCAATTTTGGCACGTCCCAATTGCCTGTCTTCTCCCGTCAGCTCTTCAGAAGCCTAGGCGTTTGGGAATTCTTGGACTCGCAGTTTGTAGTGAAGGCAGTCGCCAAGAAGATCCAATCTGCAGCTTGGCTCAGTTCCAGTTGCTGCTTGAACCCTTCAAGACCCCTAACATCCCCGTACTCATTGTGGTCACTGTGGTGTTGCAGAACCATGCAGAACCAATTAAGTGGGTTTTGGATGGTTTTGGCAGTTCCTCTGGCTGGATGTGGTTGGGCTTGCGTGGACACAGTGTACACAGGTGGGTATCAGGAACAAGTACGGATCCATGCTTCTGTTCGAGAAATGAGCTCAGGATGGGCCAGCAAAAACCTTGGAAAAGCTGCAACGCGAAGCCAAGAAGCGCTGGAAGGCCGAGGAAGGTATCTTGGCTTCTCTAGGAATGCATTGGATATCATTGGATAGTTCAGACATCAGGCAACAATTAGAGGCCTGGCACAGTTAAAAAAAAACGCAGTACATTAAATCATCTAATATCATTATATATATAATATATTACAATATATGAAGTACATTGAAGTACTATTAAACAGCGAACAGCCCTCAGATTGTTCGAGAGTAGGAATGTTTTTGGGGCTTATCGTGCGAAGAATTAGCCCAGTACAGAGAAACGACGAGTATTGTAGGAGACACTAGCAGCCAGTGAGCGAATTGAAATTGTTGCTTTGAGGTGACTATTGCGTCCAGCCCTCAGACGAGCAGGTATCACGCAGTACTGCGATCTACTGCATGCAGGTCTAAAGAGGGAAGTTGCCAATCATCTTGGAGGCAAACACTAACACTGATCATTGAATCCAGTTGCAGCGTTGTTTTCATGTCCAAGTGAAATTCAAGTTTCGACTGTCCAGTTTTCAACTGCAGATGCGAGGTCATGGATCTCCAAGATAAGAGCCCAAAAATGCTCGTAGTCGGAATGTTTAATCCTATCTCTTCTCCAGATGCACGCCTGTTTTAAGATTTTAGAGTTGGAATGTGTTTCAACCTTTTGTAAACTCGGTACTGTACCCTATGGTAGGGTGGTGCTATGTTGATAATTACTACAGATCAAGCTCAGTCCGGTTCCACCCTCCTTCCTTCATGACTCCCTGCCAAAGTGTAGTTAGTTTATCACAGCTCAGGACGACATTACTTCCGTTTTGGTGCAGCTGCGCTGAATCGCCGATCAATGCCCAGTCCATAGCAGACTAATTGTATGATGTGATGGCCTAAAATTGAGGCAGAAAATGGCAACCCTTGGAGCTCTTCATTCCCGATTGGGAATTTTGACAATTCGTTCAGCTCGATGATTTCTCAGTTTCACTTGGACTGAAGGAAGAGTAGGGGCCTGCACGCTTCCGGCCTCGCCTTCAAAGTGTAGCAAAAAAGGATTGGGGACATGACACACACATATATATATAGTGCATTATGTATGCACACACACACAGAGTCAGTGTATGTATGATGTGCCGAATTGATTGCTTTGGCTAGCAGCCAGCCACTCTTGGAGTAGCTTAGCGCAGGGAATACCACATGATATCACCATTTCGATCGGTCCCCAGACCGTTACATTTGTGAAGTACGGTAAATTCTGGGAGCTGTTTTGTGGTTGCCCTTGTAGTGGTTCGGAGGCCAATTATTGCAATTATCCTTTGAGATCTTTGAGTATGAAGTTCGTTCTTTGTTTGCCCGGACTCTTTCGAAAGGGACTGTGGAAGTCGCAGCAACATTTGCCACGCTTGCCTGACTCAAGCTTGTAGGTTCAGAGAGACTCATGATTCTCAGCGATGTAACTGAAACATGGATCTGCCAACATCAAACACAGCCAGCGATTCCTCACTTCCTTATCTCTTAGTGGGTGGGGGTTTGAGGTCCATGCAGGATGAAGCACCCAGGACAGTCTACATGACAACAAAGCACCCTGAAGACTGTGCAGGGAAATTCTCTCATGTTTTATCAAGAACGCCCGTAGAGAATCTTATTGGCCTTTCCCTGCAACATTCAACTCAGGTCAAATCATGTCAAATCAATATAGGTTATATATAATTCATTTCTTTTGAAATGGTGCGTGCGGCATGGGGGAATCCTGGGACAGCCTGCGCTTTCATCCTTGCATTTCCGCTACGGGTGGTTGCGCAGGGGCAGCCCATCGTTGTCAATCTTGGTCCTTTGACCCTTGAGCATCCTTGAGCAGTAAGATTTTGTGGCGTTTCTATTCAGCCGTTGTGTGCTGCCCTCCTTGTTCCATACGGACCGCACTTTGATATTGCAGGTGGTTTGATGTTGTTTGATGATATGAATGCAGTGTCTATAATTGAACAGAGACATTGCGGGGATGGGGGGGTTCGGTGATTCAAGTTATTCGTGTATCAGGTATCTCGATGTTCCTGATTGCCGTGGCAATTAGACTAAGTTCATGGACCTTGATTTGTGGAGACCAGATGTATGTTGGATCCCGTCCGTTGGTTGTTTTTGCAATGCGGCTGATACGAAGCCCTTGGAAGGGTTGCTTATTTTGAGATGTGCCATTCACGATCCGCTGGAAGGGTTGCAAATTTGAAAGATGAAGTTTGCGAAAATTAGGGTTCAAGAATTGGATTTAGGGGTTGGATGTCTTAAGGTTCCTGCAAGATGCGTTACGTAGTTAACATGTTGCACATGCTCTCTTATGGTCAACAGGGAGGGGTGGGTGTGGGGGGGTGTGATAATGTTCTTGACGGGTATAACACAAGGCCCACGGAACTTGTTACCGTTGTTAACATGTTGCACATGCTTTCTTATGGTCAACGGGGGTGGGGGGGTGTGATAACGTTCTTGACGAGTACAACACATGGCCCAGGGAACTTGTTGCCGTTGTTGACATGTGTCTGACGCGCTCTCGGCGGTTGCATGCACGAACCATATTTGGTCGCGGTCGGCTTCCGAAAGCACTTTGGCACTGATGCTTTGAGAGGTGAAGAAAAATGGATGGATGATCTGGTGGATGTTTGCATGGGAAACTTTAAATCATAAATTCCCAATGTTGATTCACAAAGTTGATTCACGGCGCAGGCGAAATGTAAATGTTTGAACTTGAGTCACACGCCTGCCAATCGAAATGAATGTCCATGTTGCAAACATTTTTTGACATTGTTTGACAAGTCCCACAAATACCAGCATTTTGTCTCTTAGCCTCGAAAATCCCAATTTCAAATTTGTCACCCTTACAAGGGCGGCAAGTCAACCGGTTGCCTTGTTTTCGATTATATTAAGCACATACACTAAGCATCATGTATGCTTCAAAGTGCAGTTGAAACGTGGTGTTTTAAGGATGGGCAGCTCCGATCTTGGACTGGCCCTTCGGGATCTCCCGGAGGAGAAGGGATCTCTGGAGCCAAATCCGCTAGATGTCTTTGAAGACCAGGTGCCTCGGCTGGATATGGCTTGGTGGCCCAGCAGGCTGTCAGGTGAGGTTGGTTTCAGTCGGTGCTTGACCAAGACAGGTAAGCCTTTTTGGCGATTTACCTGACAGATCTTGAAAGGCCGATCCGAAAAGGTATATATACTAAAACAAGATATAAAATGATATAAAATAAGAAAACACAATACAATACAATATAATATAATATAATATAATACTGGTATAATATAATATAACATAATATAATATAGTATAATATATGATAAGGTAAGATATGATAATATTTAATATAATATAAAAAATAACGTAAGATAAATTATAACATAACATAATATAATTTAATAAATTATAATATAATATAAAGTAATATAATGTAATATAATACAATATAATATATATATATATAATAATATCATACAATATAATACCATATATTACAACATAATACAATATAATACAATATCATTTAGTATAAATAGTATATATAGTTAGGACTCACTATCAGAAGTTATTTTATGTTATTCTGTTTTGAGAGTTCCGGGCAATGAAAAAGGTTGTGGTTGGCTACATGATGCTCTCCAGGAACAGTTTTTCCGCGGATTGCTGGACCATTTTGGCGCGCACATGCTTCCAGCGATGCAGTCTGGAAGTCGAGGTTTCCAAACAGACACTTGCCTGACTTCCCGTTTGGTGTTTTGAACAGGCTGTGTGAAGTTTCGGGTGGCGAGGCCTAGTGTTTGTTGAATTGCAACAGCCCTCATGCTGTCATTTTCCCACTCTTTTAGATATGATGCAACGTTCATCTTGAATCATGATCTTGAATCATCACCATCTTGAATCACGATCTTGAGTGATGATCGTGGATCATCAGCTTGAATCATCATCGTGAATAGTAACTAATATTGAATCATCATCTTGAGTCGTCATCTTGAGTCATTATCTTGAATCATCTTCTTGAACAACCGCCTTGAATCATCATCTTGAAACATATTCTTGAATCATGATCATCATCATGATCTGTGTATTTTTCGATCCCGCCAATCTCTATATACTTCTCTTTATTTGTTTGTGTGTTTCTTTCTTGGGCTATTCATGTGATAATTCTTTGATATTCTTTGTAATTTTTCATTTTACTAGATTTTACTAGTATGATTAATTTGTTCATTCATTTGTTTAGCCTTGGCCCTTGTCAAGGAAGTCAAAGGAGATCACTTCAGACTTCGTGGCTCTCTTCCAGGCTACAGCATGCACAGGAGCAGCAACGGGGATGAACCCTTGAATGTGCAAGTTGCTGGGCGCACGCTGGTGGTGCAGGGTTCCAAGAGAGCCTTGGCTGAAGAGATGTAGGCCCTATGGGCTTTGCTCCTTAGCTTTGTTGTTTTCTTATGTTTTTTTGGCACTGGGAAAGGAAGCAGGCTACGTAGCATTGCAGCACACATGGCAGAATACTAAGGCACGGGCAACATGATGACCAGTTTTCAACGTAGCTTTCCGCTTCCGTGGGAACCAGATCCTGAACATGTCGCCGTCACCTATGGAGTTCCTTCCATTGAAAAACGGTAGAAGGCCTAGTGACCCATTTATGTCAATGGTATTGGGGCCCAGCGCAGTGGGAAAACCCCGCCTAGACGTGAGTCTCAAATCCAAAAAGTTGCACCAGGGGGCAAACTTGTCGTTTAAATGCATTCAGCAGTCATTCATTTGGGAATGTGTTGGACTTTAACTAGGGTTTCTAATATGTTCGTCTTTCAATCACACCAGGCCACTAAGTAGCTATTTTGTTGGCTATTATATCGAGCCCGCTGAACTAAACCCAAAAGAACTTGAAAGAAATGGGCACTCCATACACCCATACTTTCATAGGTATAGTACCCTTCCTTACGGGTCTTCACATTGCCATTGATTTATTTTTGGCTCAAGATGGCAAAACACATCGCTGCACCTGCCCGTCGCTTTTGTCGCGTGTTTTACTGTTTTGTGTCTTTTTTGGGATCATTGTTAAACATAAGCAGTTCAATTGGTTATCAGCCGTAGCTTGCTCTTTTGTTTGGCCCCCAAACTTCATCTCACATTATCTGTGGCTGGCGGCTCCCTAAAAGTTTGCACATGGAACCGGACCCGTACGAGTCCTTTGCCACGCAGCACGGTGAAGTTACTGGCAGGACTCGCAGGATCCGATCTGAAAAGTCCGCTCAGAGAAAGCGGCAGGCGTATATACGCCATCGGGTTGCTGAGGGGGAGGATCCGGAGCAGGTGGCGTTGGCTCAGGCGAGGCCTCTCTACACGCTTCGGACCTGGGAGCCGAATCCTGATTCCTGATTCATTTGGTGACGAGGCGGAAGTAGTGTATCCGGAGCCTCGGAGGTCGCTTTGTGTGAGTTGGGCACGGTCAATCTGGTTCCTCAGTCGGCTTTGTATCAGCCTGTGCGCTCAGTTGGACTGGTTCCTATAAGGCACGTGGTTGTTCCGACCCTTACGGTAAGGGTGGCCAGGTTGTGTCGACATCTGCATCTGTTGGGGCTAGGCCTAAGGCTGTTTCTGCAGCTTCATCATCTGCAAGGCCTAAGGCCGAATCTGGAACATCATCCTCCTCTTCAAGGCGACCGCGGGTGATCACAATTGAGGACGATCCAAGTGAGCCAGCTGCTGCATCATCATCGTCGGCTGTTGACCCATGTCGTTTCTCAGGGCCCCAGTGGCACAAAGCATTTCCTTTTCCAGGACTTCCGGACTTCCGGCAGTTACTGAACCTTTTGGTTTTCATCCGTGGGATCTTACTCCAGCGAAGCTGCATCCGAGTTTTGTGGTCGGCTGACCAGACATCTCTAATCCAGGTCAAGCAGGACATCCCGAAGTTTGCAGGTTCTGCAATTGTACTGGATTGGCATCAGGTGCTTGGCACAGATCGCATTTCTTCTCGGAACGCTCAGTGGGTGGATACAGATGGGCAGATTCCTCACAGGCACAAGGCTACGTTGACTGAGTTAAGCCATTTGTGCCAATAATCTGAACGCCCGCTTCACTTGGTGATTTGCAGCCACATTGAGAATTCTTCTCGAAATCTGGAGAACGTGATCCACGCTACGGAGCAGAGTGGCCTGCCGGTGCAAATGGTTCTGGCCACGACCGAACGCACGGGTCCAAAGGGGAAACTTGCTGCACCTCGTTCTGTGATCAGCGGCAAGTTTTGTTTGTTCGACGACAACTCAGAAATCATTGAGGAGTTCACTGAAGCCAGTCGGCCCATTGCACAGGTCTTGAAGCCAAGAGCACGTCGATCTAATCTCTTGCCAAAGGAGTGCATTGGCTGGTCGATTTCTTCAGAGCCGTTGTTGTCGACTGCAAAGCAGTTTGTAAAGTATTTTTCCAGGAGCAGTGCCTGATTTGCCTCGCTGCTGTAAGGCTGCGTCAGCGCCACGGCAGCAGTACGGTGCTCCGGAGTTTCATCGGCATTTTGCTGTCTATAAGTCTTCAGGGTCTCGGCATATTGCTTTGAGTTTGAGCCCAAGACATCCCAAGACTGCAAACTGAGTTCTCGGCATTTTGCTTTGAGTGTTTTCAGAAGATTGGCATTTTACCACAATAATTTCATCAGCCATCATTGTCTTTGGACTTTATCAGCTTGGCCTGGCAATTTCTTCAATCCCCATAGTGGAATTTGATTGTGATTTGCCTTGAACTTTTTCTTTTGCAAAGAGATCACATTTTTGCAGTTTCAACCGCAAGCCCAGGGTGTCTCACTGCAATTGTGTCACAGCTGGGTTGTTTCACCGCAAGCTTCGAGGTTGTTTCACTGCATTGCCAGCGGTAGTTTCACGCAAGCGCATTGGAATTTGGATTTGACATTTGGACTGAGCATCTTTTAGCTCTTGTATTTGCAGTTGATTGCATTGAATTTACCAATCCATTTGAATATCCTGCACCCCTCACCGCATAGCTGCGTCAGCGCTTCAGTGAGAAGGGTTTTGCCTGGTTTTCTTTTGGATTTTTGATCCTCCACATTCATCGTGTTTGGCTGCTTTGAGCGCCACGGTGGATTGACTAGCTTGGGTTGTTCTATTGATCACGTGCATAGCCGTGTTTGTCTTGTGGACTTTCTTTTGCGATGTCAAGTTCAGATCCGACATCAAATCTTGATAGTTTGAACATCAGTACTGAATCAGTGGACGTCCCAGCGGCAGTCAGGGAAGCTGTGCTTCATCTACACCTCGGCGTGCCCGTTCCAAAAGTTTGCAGGGGCAGGGACAGGGAAGGTGCAACATGTCGCAAGCCATCAAAAGTTTACCAAAGGTTCATGATTCTGGTAGACGTTTGGCTGTTGCTTCAACTGGTCATGAAGTTGGTTTGGAATCCCAGCCATCACAGTTGCCTTCAAGTTTTCCTTCCGATGGGGCCCAGACTTCGGTTCACAACACCTTTGAATATCATGATCAGCGATCCCAGCAAGTTCATGTTGGAATAGATCCCATGGTGTTCTCAAACATGGTGTCTGAAGCCAGACGGGTCATTCAAGAATCCGAAGAGAAAGCCCAGGGTTTAGAGCAATTAGCCCAAGAAGTTTACCAGCAAGCATGTAGCCGCATTCAAGAGCTTGTGAACCTTGCAGAAAGCCTTTACCAGTCCGATTGTAGCAAAGCTTCCGAAATTGAAAAGCTTCAAAGGGATGTCCAATCAACCCGTGACCAACTCCAAATTCAAATCAATCGCAATCAAACTTTGGGCTTCCAGATCACCAAGTTTGAATCCCAGATGTCCAATATCTAAAGTTTGTTTGGTCATGAGGATGCTGAAATCAACCGCCTGATGTCCGAAGTTTCCCGTCTCCGATCTAGTGACGCCCGACTCGAGGAGAGACTGGCTGCTTTGAGCGCCGTTCCCTCAGCCGTGGCTGCAAGCGTCGAGGCACAGATGAGGTCTGCTCAGGTTGACGTTGTGCCAGGGAATCTTGTTGGAACAGTTGGTGGTCGAGTTGTTGAAAATCCGAATGATCCACTTGCCAATGTGGTTCTCAATCGTCCATGGAGCAAAGATTGGATTCAATGATGGCCGCCATTCAGTGTTTGTCAGATAGAATGATCAGCTATGAGCAAAATGTTACGGATTCCAATCCAGTGAACCCCAACAACAAAAGCCGCTCTCCCCAGCCTTCAGGTTCGATCATTCCGCTTGGCCCTCTTGAGCCGCCTCCTGATGACGGCGACTGGCCAGAGGATGAGGGGGGTGATGGGGATGAGTTAGTTGTTGAAGAAAAGACTGAGAGGGATCTTGTTGACAGTCGCGCCCTTCAAAGTGCAAAGTTGGAGCCATTGCCCAACAACGCAGCCGACTTCAGAGTTTGGAAAAACACCCTAATTCTGATGTTGGGACGCCGTGACATTAGCGGAATTGACCACGCCACCACTTGGATTGCAATTGCCTTCAGGGTTGACTCTGCACTGGAATGCTCGAGTTCCTGAGGTCTTGTGCCATGGCTGGACAGGTGGCTCGCTTCAGAGCTCATCAAAGGCCTGAAAAGGGTCCCCGAGTTGCAGTTTAAGGTCCAGGGTTTCATTGAGAGTTGTACCCGTCAAAGTCAAGCTCCACAAGGCCGGGCAGTGATCCAAATGATCTCCCGACACTTCGGTCTCAACAGGGTCCTTGCTGACTTGCAAGAGTTTTCATCCAGCCTGATGAAAGTTTGAATCAAATCCCGAGTGAGCAGTGGCCCAATCAAAGAATGCTTGGAGAGTTTCTCTCCCACAAGCTTCGGACCGTTCGTCGTTTGGAAAGGGTGATTGATGAAATCAAAAAAGTTTCCAGATGATTCCTCCATACGTGAGTTCAACTACCTTTGGGGGAAGTTGCAAGTGTTTTTGGTTGAAGAACGCGAAGACGTGAATGCTCGATCCATTGAGCAATCCCTCCGCAATCAAAAGAAGGGAGATAAGCCGAAAGCAAAGACTCCAGCTGTCCCAGGAAAAGCTTCTCCTGCCAAAGCCTCTGTAGCTGCTGCAGTAGCGCCCCAAAACCCAAAGATGGCCCTAAAGGGCCTCCCAAAAGTGCAAAGGGTAAGTCAAAGGGAAAACACGGAAAGCCGATGATGGTTGAGGAGAAGGCCAAGACTCCATGCATCTTCCATCAGATGCCTAATGGCTGTGTTCATGGGGATAAGTACCACTATAGTCATGTTAAGACCCCTCCTGCGAAGCCCAAAGACTCAAAAGCCGACTCAAAAGCCAAGCCCAAGCCTGCAGCTCCGAAAGTCGCAGCAGCCGTTGCCATTGCTGCTGCGCTGAGCCACATGGTCACTCCATCCCAAGCCATTGGAGGACTTGAGTGGGCCGCTGACACAGGCGCAGGTCGACATTTAGTGTCATATGAAGCCTTGCAGGTATCACAGATCCCTCTTTTCCGGTTTTGCCAACGACTCCCATGAAAAGTTGAACTTCTTGACAGGTGGTGGTTTCAAGAAGTCATCCGACACCATTGGATTTCAGGACCAAGATGGAATTTTAGGTGATGCGAACCACTTCCTTTTGGACTCTTTTCCGGTGGTCAGAGCAATTGGCCTTGATGTGGAGCAGAAAATGATCAGGCGAGGCTTCATTTGGCTGCCGGGGTCTTTGCCCTTTCTTGTTCGTGACCCCTCCAAGTGCCATCTCAACTGCGATGAGGAGAACAGGTTTTACGCATCAAGAGTCACTCAGCACGTTCCGTTTTTCAGCAGCAATTTTACTGTCATCCCTGGGATGCCTGCAGAACAATTTCCCGGAAGTAGTGTCATCGATGTTTTGCCTCCTTCAGATCCCGCTGCGGAGCCGGTTGATGTTCCTGAAGTTTTGTCAGTTGAGCCAGAAGTTGAGCCTAGTAGATCCGGGAATGCCAAGCGATCCTGCATCCGTGGAACATGAGTTTCTTGCTCCCCCTCCGTTTGATCACAACTTGACTCATTTTCCGAAATTGTCCACATGTGATGTTTGCAATAGAGCCAGACTTTATAGCAAAAGGGTCAAAAGTAGGAGAGTTGTCAATGAAGAGCTTGATCTTGCGGAGCTTGAAGCTTTTGGACAACAGTTGGCATGCGACCATTTGATTGTCTTCAAGTCTTCAAGAGGAAAAGAGCATGCTGTCTTGATTGTTCAAGATCGTTTCTCAAAAGTTTTGCAAGTTTATCCAACAATTTCAAGAGAAGCATCCCAACTGGCATCAAATCTCAAGCATTTTGTGGGCCTGAAACCAAACTCCTATACCATTGTCCGTTCAGATGCTGCCGGAGAAATCTTGAAAGCTGTCATCGAAAACAATTGGTTGCCGGAGAGCTCAGTTCCATCACGTTGTCCCCACAACTCTGTCTTGGTGCGCGAAATGAGGACGTTCCAAGAGATTGCCAGGTCGTTATTTTTGCAGGCAGGACTCTGGCCTCAAGCATGCTCGCATGTTGCAACTGCCATGTCCGCATTCTTGAAAGACAGTGAGGGAAAAACACGTTGGGAACTTGCCTTTGGAAAAGAGTTTCTTGGACCCCATTATTTGCTTGGTCAATTGGATTTTGTCAGAACCAAAGATGCAGGAAAGTTCAAGTTCAGCCCGAATGCAGAACCTGCCATTTTTGTTGGATGGCGATTGGACTTTGGAATGAGGTATCGAGGTGTTTTGCAATTTGTTTTGTATTCCCACCTTCGTGAAGATGCATCATCCTATCCTGTATCCCAATTTCATGACACAGAGGTTTATATGCCTGAACATGTGACGTTTCCATTGGCCAGTGCAGCTGAAGCTGCATTGAAGGAGCTTGATGACCCTCGTCTCACTGAGCTTCATGACATCGACCCAGTGCTTGTTCCTTTTGTGGATTCTGAAATCAAGCCAAAAACTCGTAGGGTTTATGTGACCTATGCCCGAATGCTCAAAATCGGTGCCACAAAAGGATGTAAGGGTTGTGAGGATGACACTTCGTCTCATAATCAATAATGCATTGCACGCTTTGAAGAAGCCTTTGGCCGAAAGGATGTAGATGGTTTTTTGTTGAGCCTGAAGTTCCTGCGTCTTCAGAAGTTCCTGCTATTGAGCCAATGCACATCAGTGATGAAGCTTCTGGTGGTGGTTTTGCAGAAGATTTTGTGCCTGAATGCCCACCTCCATCGGATCTTGACGAACCATATGAAGCCGAATCTCCAATCAAAACTCCTCCTGATGTCTCCTTTCATGAATCAGACGCGATGAAGCTGACGAACCTCCTGCCACTGGCTTAGGTGTTGTAGCTAGTATTGCCTGCGATGCCGCAGCCAGCTTGCCACAAGAAGATGCGCAATCAATGTTTCAGGGATCTTTTCATCAGGGGGGGAAAGATTGGCTGCCTCGGCGGCACTGCCGCTCCTGAAAAGAAGGCTCCGAAACATGGCAGGGGAAAACACAGTCGCACTGGTAAGGATGTTTTGTTCGAATTTGCTTGCGCCAAGGACTCCAACCTCGGCAAAATTGGACATGAAAGTGGTTTGAGAGTTATCTGGTTGTGCAAGGACTAAGGAAGATATCAATTTGGAAGATCCTCACAGCATAGAGCAGCTCATCGCTCAGGTAGACGCTTAGAAGTGTGCTCCATCCACGGATCCATCGAATGCAGACCCTGGAGCCAATGGCAACATTTGAATCGGACGAAGTATCCGAGACTGGCGGCAAAGATCAGTCAAGAACAAGCCGAAAGTGCTGCCTTGGTAGAGCAATTCATTCGGGTGGCTAACATCTGTCTTGACAACGGTGGGGATTGCAGTTTCGAATGGCCACGCTATTGTACTGGTTGGGCTTTGCCATCAATTCAATCGTGGATTCTTGAGACTCTGAGAGAAACTTGCATTCAGCCACTTTCAATGGCTGCACGGTTGGTGTTGAAGCTGATGGCCAACCAGTCAAGAAGCCTTGGAGATTTCTTACCTCTTTACCGCGCTTGGCCAAGAATCTCGCAGTATTGAAGGGCACCCACAGTAGTCATGCCCCACTTCAAAGAAAATGGACCAGAATGTCAGCCTCTTACCCACGAAAGCTTTGCAATATGATGATTCAATCATTGTTTCCTCATGTTGTCAATCAGCATGTGTGCTCTATGCCGTGTGTTGCGAGGTCTCAACAATCTCACCGCCAAAAGCTTGTCCCAGGGTACCCATCAGTTCCCCTTGACATTGCGATGTTCAACGTAGGTGTAGGCTGCCAAGAAGTGGTAGCTCCTGCTTATGTTCATCGGCCTTTGGATCGAAGTGAATGGAAAGACCGTCCAGGGGCCTTGGATGCCATCAACTCGGAAAAGCAAGGACTTCTTACAAATGGGGCGTGGGATGAGTCCAAGATCCGTCCCAAAGCAGAAGTCTTGGCCGAAGCACGAGCTAAGGGTCAGAAAATTCATGTTGGTGCTTTAATGGTAATAGTTAGCATTAAAGGGTATGAAAAATCCCCATCAGAATGGCTCATTAAAGCTCGCATTGTCTTCGGGGGTGATGCTGTGCGTGATGAAGTCAATCAGGCAGCCGTCTTTGACGAGCTAGCAGCTTCTGCGCCAACGAGCCTTGGTGGTCTCAACATGATCATTGCCTTTGGACTTGTCGAGGGAAACGCATGCTCAACCTCAGACTGCATCAAAGCATATGTCCAAAGTTTTCTTGACTCATCATGCCCAACATAATGTTTTGCTTCCCGCAGAACTTGTGCCAGCTCATGCCAAGCACATTCACCAGCCAGTTGCCCCGCTCATCCGATCGTTCTATAGACATCCTTTAGCATCCGCATCATGGCAAAATCTTCTTGCCACCATTCTGTCAAAAGAACTTGGAGGCGTTGAGATGCCAGAACAACCCAGTTGTTTTCACTTCCCATCCATGAGTCTAGCCCTCAGTGTTTATGTTGATGATCCGCCGCTGAGTGGTCCTCAAAAGAACCGCAGTAAGTTTTGGCCAACTTTGCAGAAACACGTCCAACTCGAAGATCCTGCCGATCTTTCAAAAGTACTTGGTAGGAACCATGTCACTTGCGATCAAGGACTTGCCCTTCACCCTGAAGATTTTGCAAAGCAGTGTGTCGAACTTTACGAACAATTGTCCGGCAAGAAGGTCAAGCATTTCCGCATCCCTCACTGTGATGGCGGAACCTTGGTCGACACTAATGATCAATGTGTTGGACAACTCTCAGCATCATCTGCAAAGCTTGTTATGAAGCTCATGTGGCTCGGACGAATCAGTCGTCCAGACATCATGGTTGCTATTAACACACTTGCTACTCGATGGAGCACAAATTATGACAAGCGTGCAGCTCGATTAGTCGGCTGCATTGCTGCCACTGTTGATTACGCTCATGTCATGCGTATCAAAGACCTTCCAGCTAAGCTGTGGTTATCGCTTTTTGTTGACAGTGATTTCGGATCATCACCCGACATGAAGCCGACCAGTGGTTTCATCATTGCTTTGGAAGGCCCAGACTCATTTGCTATCATCCTTGTGGATCAAAAAACCCAGAGGGCTGTCTCAAGATTAACGACAGAAGCAGAGTTTGTTGCCTTGAGCACCGCATTGTTTGGAGAGGCCATCTCACTTTTGGCAGTTTGTCAGCGTGTGATTGACCCCGGCTTCATTCTTAAGTGCTTTGAAGACAACCAAGCGGTGATGGCAATAATTGCCAAGGGCTATTGCCCGAAACTTAAGCATTTGGCAAAATTTCATCGCATTAACGTCGTGAGCATATGCGAAGCCTTTTCAGCCGAGGATATCCTCATTCAGTACATCCAGACAAGCCATCAAAAGGGTGATGTCATGAACAAGGCTTTGCCAGTGTCTATGTGGTCAGGTGTCTTGGATTTGCTCTGCATCAAGCCCATCACAGCCACTTAGGTTTGGACTTTGGTTGCAGGAATCCTTCTGTCGCGGCAATCAAACTGCTGTTGATGAACTTCATGGATATCCAGAACTCTTTAGTTTCATTTGAGATCTCAACCACAACTACTGTAATTAAGTTTCAATATGTTGCACGCCACTCAGGGCACAGTTTTGTGGATGTAACCAAGTTCCATCTACAATTTCAGTCTTTGGATTTTGCTTTGTCAATTCCATTGCACTTCATCACAACTACCGAAGTTTAATTCAGCATGTTGCAGTCGCTAAGCGCACAGCCGTGCGGATGTAACTAAGTTCCATTTGCACCTTTCTTCTTTTGGACTTGCTTTGTCATTTCCATTGTCATTCAGTTCGTCCCTGTCTTTTGCCTTGTCCTTAAGACCGGATCCGGAGATCAGCTGCGTAAAGAGCTACTCCATATGCATCCGTTGGACTTCAAGCATCGGTAATTCATTGCATGGTACATCCGTGCACGAAACTGCCAGGCATGGAAGATTTCTTAATGGAATCTATCACATCCTTTGCCTGAATCATCAACTGAGCCGCAAAAGACAGTAGTCAGCATCCGTCCGTAGGCCTGATCACCCTGCGTCAGGTTGCCGTTTGTGCTTGACCCTGTACAGGCGCTCCATACACCCATAGTTTCATAGGTATAGTACCCTTCCTTACGGGTCTTCACATTGCCATTGATTTATTGTCGCTCAAGATGGCAAAACAGATCGCTGCAGCTGCCCGTCGGTTGTGTCGCGTGTTTTACTGTTTTGTGTCTTTTTGGGGATCATCATTAAACATAAGCAGTTCAATTAAAGATGTGTGAAACGCTCTTCAATCAATGATCAAAAAATGTCTCTTGACGTTTTAGTTGCAAACGCACATGTTCACACAGAAAACATGATCTTGGAATCAAAAATGGTTTGAACTAAGAATCCCCTTTGGTTTCAAGTGAACTTGGATAGTATACATATATATATATATGTATATATATATACAGATGTGTGTCTGTAGATATGTATATATGTATACATATTACAGATATAGAGAGAGAGAGGGGGGGGAGGTTTTGTCGCTTTTCGCTGATCCTCCGGCTGAGGCTCAGGATGGTTCTTTGCTCGTAGACGTTGCTAAAAAGCCAGGCTCGCCAGACGCAAGCTCAGAGCAGAATGAGCAGAGGCTTGCATCTTCAGCTCTCGCAGATGACATAGATGAAGCTAAGCTCAATGTGTTTTCCTTTCCCTCCTTTCATTCTTTTCACTGCTTCAACGCGTTTTCTATTGTATACGTGTAGCCCCTAAGAATCTCTAAGCGAGCCTCAGATTAGATTTTATTTTTGGTGAGCATGAGTACAGGACCCGCTGGCTTTTCTGGGATCGCCTCAAATGACTATGTCCTTCTCAGATTTGGGTCGTGGAAGATCAGACCGGAGAAGCCGCGGCAGTTGCTTGTTTTTCAATTCACTGGGTAGCTTTTGCTCGATTCCCTGATGCCCTGATCACACAGACACTTGTTCCATTTTCAACGTAGGTAGTTTTGTATCATCTTGTAGGTATAAACGGATTCAACTATTGCTACCGTGATGCTACCGTGTGTTTCGGCATTTTTTAGCATCTTTCAGCCGCTTTCAACATGTGCCAGCTTTTGGCAATGTCAGCCATACCAGCTTTTCAGGGCTGACAGTCCCAGGTCTCAGAGGATTGCCAATGATCGTGGGCCTTTCAAATCAGAAAGCTGTTCTTTTCCAGGACGACATGTGCCCGGTTCACCTATGTGCTACATGGTTTTCAACGGTTTTCAGATGTCTCAGAGGGGCCCTGGCCATGTTCGCAAACTCCATGAAGATTGCAATGTCAACAGCAAAACTCTGTCATCAGGATCCGTTCGAGCAGTTCTGGAATGAAATGGACCCGCAAATCATGATTGCTACTCCAGGCAGTTTTGCGTTGAGCCGTTGAGAGTTTGACTATGATCAAAAAGCATCAAAAAGCCGTAGCCTTTGATCGCACGTTTTTCCAACCAGCATTCCCTTGCCTCTGTGGGTCTATGTGGATCTCTGCCAGTTGGTGAAGATGTGAGACCTTCCGAGACGTCCGACGCAGTACCACCCAAACCCACAATTGAGACCGCCAAAACCACAAGCTTCTCCAGCGAGCTTTTGTCTCCGGAGCTTTGGCGGCAAAAAGGGTAGCCATGCTGAGCTTATGCGAATCATGAAGACATGATAAGACATGTCAAGACATGTGTGAAACGTTTTGAGTTGGTATGAGTTGGTGAAAGTCGCGAAAGAGAGCACGGTGAGGTGGTCGTGCAGCCTAAGAACGCCAAACCATTTTGGCGCTTGTCCTCCTCTGAACCTCAGCGGGCTCAATACATTGACATTGCTCCAGCCTAAGCGGGCAAGTTGGTTTGGCGCAGTTTGCCCCCTTTGCTGCTGTGATGTCATGCTGGACCGTATTTTGCGTTGAAATGTGTTGAATGTTCGGCATTCTTCCGGACTTCATCTGAAGATGCCTGCGCGACATTGAGTGCTTATAACCTGACTGTAGCAAGTTCGGCCTTGTGCGAAAGCGAAAGAAGATACGAATATGATGATACAACATGATGCAACAAAGACAGCGGCCGGCAGAGCTTGGACTCAACAGACAACGGATGAACAAAACGTGCTGTATGAATCATATGAGTACTCATATGAATCTGTATCACAGTTTCACTTCACCGAGACACACCCAGACCATATATATATATATATAATATGCATTTATTTTAAATAAGCTTCTGTGATATCCCCAATAGCCGCAACGTTTTATTTTATAACTCTGTCTGAAGCTTGCTGGGAAGCCAAGCGCTGGAAACACCTCAGCTAGATTTCCGTGAGTGCAATGAACCTCACCTGGCTTTACTTCTGCAACCTTCCCCGGAATCCATTGAACCTGACTTGGCTTTGCACCACGGCTTCCTGGAACCTTCTCCGGAATATTCTGCGGAACCCTGTTGAAACTGACCTGGCTCTGCACCAAAGCCTCCCGGAACCTTGTCCGGAACCTTCTCCGGAACCCTGCTGAACCTGACCTGGCTCTGCACCAAAGCCCTCCCACACCTTCTCCGGGACCAAGGCCTCCCAGACCTTCTCCGGAACCTTCTCCGAAACCCTGTTGAACCTGACTTGGCTGTGCACCAAAGCCTCCCAGGCCTTCTCCTGAACCCATTGAACTTGACTTGGCTTTGCAGCAAGGCTTCCTGGAACCTTCTTCGGAACCTTCTCTGCACCAAAGCTTCCCAGACCTTCTCCGGAACCTTCTCCGGAACCGTGTTGAACCTGACCTGGCTCTGCACCAAGATCTTCTCCGGAACCTTCTCCGGAACCCTGTTGAACCTGACCTGGCTCTGCACCAAGACCTTCTCCGGAACCTTCTCCGGGACCCTGTTGAACCTGCACCTAGCTCTGCACCAAAGCCTCCCGGAACCTTCTCCGGAACCGTCTTCGGAACCCTGTTGAACTTGACCCGGCTTTGCACTAAAGCCAGACCTTCTCCGGAACGTTCTCCGGAACTTTCAAAGCTTCCCGGACCTTCTCCAGAACCTTCTCCGGAACCCTGATGAACTTAGCCTGGCTCTGCACCAGAGCCTCCCAGACCTTCTCCGGAACCTTCTCCGGAACCCTGTTGCACCTGACCTGGCCCTGCACCAAAGCCTCCCGGACCTTCTCCGGAACCTTCTCCGGAATTTTGTTGAACTTGACCTGGCTCTGCACCAAAGCCTTCCGACCTTCTCCGAAACCTTCTCCAAGCCTTCTCCGGAACCTTCTCTGGAGCCCTGTTGGCTTTGCACCAAGGCTTCCTGGAACCTTGGGACCTTCTCCGGAATCCTGTTGAACCTGAGCTGGCTCTGCACCAAAGCCTCCCAGACCTCCCTCCCAGACCTTCTCGGGAACCTTCGGAACCTTCTCCGGAACCTCGTTGAACTTGACCCGGCGCCTGCATCAGTGCACACCAGAGCTATTCTGGGCTGAAGACCCCATTAGCTTACGCTCCGGAACCCTGTTGAACCTGAGCTGGCTCTGCACCAAAGCTTCCCAGACCTCCCTCCCAGACTGCTCGGGAACCTTCGGAACCTTCTCCGGAACCTCGTTGAACTTGACCCGGCGCCTGCACCAGTGCACACCAGAGCTATTCTGGGCTGAAGACCCCATTAGCTTACGCTGTTGAGAAAAAAACATTCAAATCCTGACCAATCGATTTCCACCATGCGATTCTCGGATTCAGAGTTTGGTACTTTCACGGCTTTTTGCATGAGGTGAGTCCTCCAGGTGTTGAACTTGGAAAGATCCAAGGTGCTAACCTGTCTTGGTTTGCGATCATGGGGTGACGGTGATGGCGTCATCTTGGGTTCTAGGCAGCTTTGACCCGTTTTCTGCTCGAATTTTCTTCCACGTGCTTGAACTATCTTGAACTCAACTCAGGCACTTTTGTCGAGTACGTGCAGACCAGAGCAGGAGACAGCTGGATGCTCAGCGGGCTCCAGGTTATTCGGGTTATTGCATGTTATTGCCCATTATAGGGGCAGAGAAGGTCAAACTCCACTTGTAGAACCTCTGTCCCGGCAGGGAAGTTTCATACAACCCAAGCCAGATCAAGCCAGATCAAGCCAGAAAAGCAGACAGGAATGTGGCATTTGCACATATTTGATCCCCACCCCCTTAACCTAGCTTTTTGGGGGGGACCCTACTATATGTAACTTACATTTTTCGGGGTGTTTTTAGGGGGGGTTAATTGTAACTTAAAATCTCTAAGGTACCAGAAATTCAGGTTTTGGAAGGGTGAAAAATGTAAGTTTTGACCCCTAGGTATGGTCCTGGTCAAAGCAATTTCAAGGTATTCCCCAGGAATGCACCACACACGTAGTGATCTATGGAAATGGGGGAGGGGGGGGGAGAAAATGTAACTTACATTTTTTCGCCCCCCTCCCTTTTGGGGGTACCACTATATGCTATGATATAATATGATATAATATGATATAATATGATATAATATGATATAATATGATATAATATGATATAATATGATATACTATGATATAATATGATATAATATGATATAATATGATATAATATGATATAATATGATATAATATGATATAATATGATATATGATATAATATGAGACATAATATGATATAATATGATATATTACATTAACATACATTAACCTAGGATAACCTAGGCACACCAGTATTATCCAGTATTCTTGGCTTCAATAGTTGGTTGTGATTTGAGGGGGGCTCCAGCTTCAATAGTTGGTTGTGATTTCCCGGGGAATTCTGGTATTATATGGGTTTTGATGGGTTTTTTCTAGGTTGTACATTCTGTTGTGCATTCTTTCCAGCAATGCCTTTGGACATTTTGGTCTTGGAAAATGTAAGTTGATGATATTGAGGTGCAGGTTCCACTGCAAAAATGCAGGTTTTGAAGACCTTACAACAGGGATCTTACATTTTTTGGTTCCTAGGATTCCCTGGGAATTCTGGTATTATATGGGTTTTGATGGTTTTTTTTTCTAGGTTGTACATTCTGTTGCGCATTCTTTCCAGCAATGCCTTTGGACATTTTGGTCTTGGAAAATGTAAGTTGATGATATTGAGGTGCAGGTTCCACTGCAAAAATTCAGGTTTTGAAGACCTTACAACAGGGATCTTACATTTTTGGGTTCCTAGGATTCCCTGGGAATTCTAGTATTATGTGGGTTTTGATGGGTTTTTTTCTAGGTTGTACATTCTGTTGCGCATTCTTTCCAGGAATGCCTTTGGACATTTTGGTCTTGGAAAATGTAAGTTGATGATATTGAGGTGCAGGTTCCACTGCAAAAATGCAGGTTTTGAAGACCTTACAACAGGGATCTTACTTTTTTTGGTTCCTAGGATTCCCTGGGAATTCTGGTATTATATGGGTTTTGGGTTTTTTCTAGGTTGTACATTCTCTTGCGCATTCTTTCCAGCAATGCCTTTGGACATTTTGGTCTTGGAAAATGTAGGTTGGTGATATTGAGGTGCAGGTTCCACTGCAAAAATGCAGGTTTTGAAGACCTTTTAACAGGGATCTTACATTTTTTGGTTCCTAGGATTCCCTGGGAATTCTGGTATTATATGGGTTTTGATGGGGTTTTTTCTAGGTTGTACATTCTGCTGCGCATTCTTTCCAGCAATGCCTTTGGACATTTTGGCCTTGGAAAATGTAAGTTGATGATATTGAGGTGCAGGTTCCACTGCAAAAATGCAGGTTTTGAAGACCTTACAACAGGGATCTTACATTTTTGGTTCCTAGGATTCCCTGGGAATTCTGGTATTATATGGGTTTTGATGGGGGTTTTTTCTAGGTTGTACATTCTGTTGTGCATTCTTTCCAGCAATGCCTTTGGACATTTTGGCATTCCAGTTGGGTGTTATAGTTGGTTATGATTGAAATATATCGAAATATCATTTTTGGTTGTAATGTGTTATAGATTTTATAGCGTTTTCAGAGATGTTCTTGGATGTTCTGTGGTATTTCTTGATGTTTTTCTGTTTATCTATGTTTTTTTTTGTAATCCTGGCACCAACCTTGTTATAACTGTTATGTTTACTCTTCCTTTTATCCCATGAGGGCCCAATGTTTTGTGACGTCCCAAGAAGTAACTTACATTTTTTGAAAAATGGAGGCTTCCAGAGAAATAACACCTTCAAATATGTAAGTTACATTTAGGAAGGTTTTACCTGAAAAATGTAATATTACATTTTTCAGGTCCCTCCAAATTTCAGAGGGGCCTACCCTAAATGTAAGTTACATTTTTGAAGGTGCTGATTGTATGGGTTTTTCACAAAATGTAAGTTACATTTTCGAAGGTTTTACCTACCCTAAATGTAAGTTACATTTTGGGGAGGTCCCCCCCTGCTAAAAGGGTAGGGATCATATTTGATCATATTTGCACATTACATCAACATATCATTAATACATGTTTATACGATTTTATAAATATCAATACACTTCTACATTTTATTGTCATGTCAACAATTATATCTTCCCGCTTTGCCTTTGATCTCGAACATCCAATACTCCGATGACACAAGAACAAATGCTTGTGCACAGCACATGGCTGGTACCAATGCTTGCAGGAAAACCTGAAAGACTGGAGTTGCCGATTTCTGTGCGCCCAGAGGACTGCGAACTTTCAAGCGCGCACTTTCGAGCCAGATGTGCGTGTGTGTGTATGTATGTTTTTGTGCATATCACACACTTGCTCAAAACTATCATTGCGAATTCTGTTGTGGAATGCATCTTACGCGCAAAAACACTTCCATTACACCTGACAGGAGTGGGTCGGTAAAGGGACCCGATAAAGGTATCACGAAGCTACCATCGCCATAGCCAGTGCAGTTGAAATCAGATGGTAGAAGAAACAAGTTCAATTTGAAGTAAAAGATCAGATTGCAGCAAAAGCACAGACCTCGACAAGAAGTTGTCGAAATTGTCAAAAATGTCGGATGGGAATGGCTTAGCCCCGTGCCATGTCAGTTGAAACTTGGAAAAACTGACATCGAAAAGGTGCGGAACTGATGCAGGTACGTCCAAGTGATCAGCCTGGATATCCTAAGGACACCATAGAGAGCTTCGTTGTGCACAGCTCTATGGGCCTTCTGTGCCCCCCTGCACGTTGAAATGAAATTGAAAAAAATGACATAAATTGAAACATTTGAAACGTAAAACCACACAATTAAAGTTTAGAATTAGAAGCAACTCGCAGCCATACCCTGGAGATGGTTCAAACAGTTATTTGGTCATGTTTTGTCGGTTTTTGTTTTTTTCGCATTTTTTTGTCATTTCAGTTTTGTCCGTCATTTTTTTGGTCATTTGTTTTGTTTTTTTTGTCATTTCAGTTTTGTCTGCCATTTTTTGTCACATTTTTGTAGTGTTTTTTTATGCGGGATGCAGTAGCTAAATTAAACCAGGTGGACACTGAGTTAGGTTTAATTTTTTTGGTTTAATTTAAAAAATCTTACGAAAACAGGGGGTCCACCCACCTCCTTAAGATCCTGAAGAAAGTTGAGTTGGTTTAATTTTGAGATGTGACCCACCCCATGGTTTAATTTCAGCTGTTTTAGCTCATTGTGCTGCCTCGTGTTCCGCCTCGGGATACTGCAGCCATGGTTCCTGACACGTGTCCTAGCACAGCTCCGTGAAGACGATCCGGCGTGGACAGCAAGGTTCTTGCACAGTTGGGAACAGCATTGCTGCAGCCCAAATGCTCCATCTCAAGCAGAGCAAGTCCATGGGAAAGGCGCTGCGGGACCATGGTAAACTGTTTCTATCTGTTTCGGGCCCCTTGCGTGATCCCAGATCAGGTCAGAATAATTAATCAAGGGGTGGGTGAGTCCATACGTACTGAACATTCATTCATCAGGACACCTTTGGCACCATAATATTCATGGGATTTATGGTCACCAGAATAATTAAACAAGGGGTGGGTGAGTCCACATGTACTGGGCATTCAGGATCAGTTCTTCCATTGGGGCACCCCCAACACCATAATATCATACAATATCCATGGCATTGATGGTCACCAGAATAATTAAACAAGGGGTGGATAAGTCCACATGTTCTTGGCATTCATAAAGATTCATGTATTGGGATACCTTTGGTGTTATCATGATTCATTGTTTTTCTTGAATTTTCATCTTTGGTCATCACAAAGGAAAGAACCTGATGGAATCTCATTGGAGTGCAAGTTGATCATGGTGGAGAGAGATTGGTGAGATATAGGTGTCAAAATAATGCGAAAGTAGCAAGTCCAATGAGATTCCATCAGGTTCCTTCCTTTGTGATGACCAAAGATGAAAATTCAAGAAAAAACAATGAATCATGATAACACCAAAGGTATCCCAATACATGAATCTTTATGAATGCCAAGAACATGTGGACTTATCCACCCCTTGTTTAATTATTCTGGTGACCATCAATGCCATGGATATTGTATGATATTATGGTGTTGGGGGTGCCCCAATGGAAGAACTGATCCTGAATGCCCAGTACATGTGGACTCACCCACCCCTTGTTTAATTATTCTGGTGACCATAAATCCCATGAATATTATGGTGCCAAAGGTGTCCTGATGAATGAATGTTCAGTACGTATGGACTCACCCACCCCTTGATTAATTATTCTGACCTGATCTGGGATCACGCAAGGGGCCCGAAACAGATAGAAACAGTTTACCATGGTCCCGCAGCGCCTTTCCCATGGACTTGCTCTGCTTGAGATGGAGCATTTGGGCTGCAGCAATGCTGTTCCCAACTGTGCAAGAACCTTGCTGTCCACGCCGGATCGTCTTCATGGAGCTTAGGACACGTGTCAGGAACCATGGCTGCAGTATCCCGAGGCGGAACACGAGGCAGCACAATGAGCTAAAACAGCTGAAATTAAACCATGGGGTTTAATTTTGAGAAAGTTGAGTTGGTCCACGCACCTGGGGGGAAAAATGGTGAGCGCAACTGGTTTTACACCAAGTCTCACTGACATGTGTAGAACCAGGTGGTTTAATATTTGGTCTTAGCAAAACAAAATCAACCCAATGATCCTGTAAAATTAAACCAGGTACTGCCGAGTAGCTTGTTTAATTTTTAGCTGGGGGATGCTGGGTGGGACCTTAACTGGAAGTTTTCTGGATTACTTTCTTATGTTAAAAATAAACGGAGGTTATGTTTGACTGAAAGATTTTGGAAAAAACCATACTGCAGGGGACCCCGTTTAATTAAAAAAAATAAACCAGGGTCCCCACCCCCCTCCCACCGATTACCGCTACCCGCATGTTTTTTTATTTCAGTTTTGGCCTGTCATTTTTTGTCATTTTTTGTCATTTGGTGGAAATTTTGTCATGTTTTGGTCATTCTGGTGCCATTTTCTCAAAAACATGGAAAAATATCGAAAATTGTTTGAGAAATGACAAAAAATGACAAAAAAATGACAATGCTTCCAGAAAAAAGCTTTTTTTTTGTTGTCATTTGGTGGATTTTGTTTGACATTTTTTGTCATTTTGGTGCCATTTTCAAAAAATATGGAAAATATCGTCAATTGTTTGAAAAATGACAAAAATGACAAAAAAATGACAATGCTTCGAGAAAAATGCAATTTTTGCAACCTGCGCAATTGTCATTTGTTTTGTCCTTTTTTTTGGTCATTTGGTGGAAAATTTGTATTTTTTTTTTGTCATTTTGGTGCCATTGTCTCACAAAAAATGGAAATATATCGAAAATTTGTCGAAAAATGAAAGAAACTGAGAATAAATGACAATGTTTCGAGAAACATGCAATTTTTGAAACCTGCAAAATTGTCATTTTGTTTGTCATTTTTTTGGTCATTTGGTGGAAAATTTGTATTTTTCCCGAATGCGTAGCAAGGGTTCCCGTTTCACTCTGGGGGTCTGGGGGTTGAGGGTGTGTTCGCTGGACGTTGCGTTCACGTTCGCAACCGTCCGCAACCGTCCGCAACCGTTCGTGTGAGGACCGTATGGCCGTGCCTATGGTAAGTTCTGCAGGAGGTGACATTTTTGGAGGTTTCCTTTCGTTGCTTCGTTTCGCGCGGCAAGCGTGGCACTTTGTGACATTTAGACGTGTTTTGTAACGTGTCGAAAGTCGTTTGGTGTGGCAGGCACAATACTTTTGCGACATTTTCAGAAGATGCCTTGCAGTTTTCGTGGCAGGCGCAGCACTTTGGACGTGTCCATCGTCATTCTGCGTGGCAGGCGCAGCACTTTAGACGCGTCGTGTCGCGTGTTTTTTGCAAATCGCATTGGCAGGGCTGCGTCAAGTGGCGCCAAGTTGCAGATTCCGTGGCAGGCGTGGCATTTTGTGACATGTGCTGAAAATTGACGGAAGCCTCGCACGAAACATCGATTTTGAGGTTGCCAAATTTAGAGGTTCCCACGAAAACTCGTAGGAAAACGTCGATTTTGAAGCTACAAAGTGTGAAAATTGGAAGAAGTCTTGCACGAAATGCTCGTTTTGGCGTTCCCACGTGTCTTGTCTCGAGTCTCGCTCTTTCCTGTGGCGTCGCCGTGTCTATGGGGAAGCTGCGAAACCTCTCCTTTTCGAAGGTTTCCAAGCAGATCGTCATGTCGTTTTGCGTGGCAGGCGTGGCACTTTGTGACATTCCAACCTGTTTGATAACGTGTCGAAAATGTCAAAATTGGGGGAAGTCTTGTACGAAATGCTGATTTTTCTGCATCCACATGTCTTGTCTCGAGTCTCTGGTTTTCCTGTGGCGTCGCCGTGTCTATGGGGGAAGCTGCAAAACGTTTCCTTTTCGAAGGTTTCCAAGCAGGTCGTCATGTCGTTTTGTGTGGCAGGCGTGGCACTTTGTGACATTCCAACTTGTTTGATAACGTGTCGAAAATGTCAAAATTGGGGGAAGTCTTGTACGAAATGCTCGTTTTTCTGCATCCACATGTCTTGTCTCGAGTCTCTGGTTTTCCTGTGGCGTCGCCGTGTCTATGGGGAAAGCTGCAAAACCTCTTCTTTTCGAAGGTTTCCAAGCAGGTTGTCATGTCGTTTTGCGTGGCAGGTGTGGCACTTCGTGACATTCCAACCTGTTTGATAACGTATCGAAAATGTCAAAATTGGAGGAAATCTCGCACGAAATGCTCGTTTTTCTGCACCCACGTGTCTCGTCTCGAGTCTCTGGTTTCCTGTGGCGTCGCCGTGTCTATGGGGGAAGCTCCGCACTCCACACTCTACACTTTACACTCCACAATTTACACTTTAGACTCCACACTCCACAATTTACACTTTAGACTCCACACTCCACACTCTACACTTTACACTCCACACTTTACACTTTGCACTTTACACTCCACACTTTACACTCCACACTCCTCACCCTACACTTTACACTTTACACTCCACACTCCACACCCTACACATTACACTCCACACTCTACACATTACACTCCACACTCCACACTCTACACTTTACACTCTACACTCAACACTCTACACTTTACACACTCCACACTCCTCACTCCACACTCCACACTCCTCACTTTACACTCCACACTCTACACTTTACACTCCACACTCTACACATTACACTCCACACTCCACACTCTACACTTTACACTCTACACTCCATACTCTACACTTTACACACTCCACTCTCCTCACTCCACACTCTACACTCCACACTCCTCACTTTACACTCCACACTCCACACTCTACACATTCCACTCCACACTCCACACTTTACACTCCACACTTTACACTTTATACTCCCCACCCCACAATCCACAATCCACACTTTACACTCCATACTCCTCATTTTACACTCCACACTCCACACTTCACACTCTACACTTTCCACTCCACACTCCACACTTTACACTCCACACTTTACACTCCTCACTCCACACTCTACACTTTACACTCTACACTCCCCACACTACACTTTACACTCTACACTTCACACTCTACACTCCACACTCCACACTCTACACTTTACACTCTACACTCTACACTCCACACTTTACATTTTACACTCCACACTCTACACTCCACACTCTACACTTTCCACTCCACACTCCACACTCCACACTCTACACTTTACACTCCACACTCCACACTTTACACTTTACACTCCACACTCCACACTCTACGCTCCACACTCCTCAATTTACACTCCACACTCCACACACTTACACTTTCCACCACTTTCCACTCCACACTCCGCGCTCCACACTCCACACTTTACACTCCACACTCCACACTTTACACTCTACACTCCACACTCCACACGCTACACTCCGCACTCCACACTCTACACTTTACACTCCACACTCTACACTTTACACTCCGCATTCTACACTTTACACACTCTACACTCCCCACTGCACACTCTACACTCCACACTCCTTACTTTGCACTCCACGCTCCACACTCTACACATCTCTACACCTTCCACTCCACACTGCAGACTGGTAACAGGGGAAATATGTACAAGACTGTTCAAATAAACTATTGCATAAAAGTGTTGTGCGTGACTGCATATCCATGTGTTTTGACATCTGTACCATTACAGTAACATACGTGTGAGCATTCGGGTTCGTGGGCTGCATCTTGTTTGTCATTTTTTGTCATTTTGGTGCCATTTTCTCAAAAATAGGGAAAATATCGACAATTCTTTGAAAGTGACAGAAAAATGACAACAAAACGACAGACCAAAACTCAAATGACAAAAAAATGACAAACAAAATGACAGACAAAATTGAAATGACAAAAAAAATGACCAAAAATGACCAACAAAATGACAGACAAAACTGAAATGACATGAAATGACAAAAGAATGGCAAACAAAATGACAAACAAAACTGAAATCACAAAAAAATGACAACAAAAGCGACAATAAGCGACAATAGAATGACACATTATATATTTTGATTTTTTCAACCTTTGCCTGCCTAAGTTTCTTCTAAATTTAGAAGTTTTGCATCTATTCAGATGGTTCACACACACATGATATGTATATAATATGTATGTACGTATAGGCATAGCACAGGTGTGTTGTTCGCAGCACATTGTGAACCCAGGAAGCCTTGAGAACCCGATATGCCGTCACCGTCACAACGTTCATGTATGTACTATCATGTGCGAAAGTGAGGGGAAAACATTGGCCAAAAAATCCTTCAGGATAATCATGAACTACTGCGCTGTTAGGATAGTTGTTGTTTGGTGTTCTCTCAGTTCATACAGGTACAAGTACATTTGTTCCTGCCATATGAGGTTCCACTCGGGATCAATCCAGCCAGAGTGTCGGAATGCTTCATCCAACATCTGGAGACGTTATCATCCATACGTTGAATTAGGACAGGTCAACATGCAGGAGATTGTGGACTTTGAGCAGCCACATCAAAATGTCGAGGGAAGGTTTCCAATACAAAGCGACATGTTTCTTCTGAGCAAACCACTCGCCAGGATTAGACCGGGAACACTGGAGGAGAAAGGCCAATACTTTATCAGGGAACATGAACTTCTTATGTAGATACGTGGGCGCTAGCCACGTGATTGAACCCAAATTCGGACAAATGCGGCGATGAAATTGCACGAATTGGGACATGATTTGCCTTTAAGAGTTTCACAAAGAAAACTTGAAAAAACCTAGCTAACTTACACAGGGCCAGTTCGTTGTGAATCCACCCGGGCTGCCAACCATGGGTAGGCCCCCCTCACAGGGACAAACCAGTGGGGAGCAGAAAGGTAGCTAGCCAGAGTTCTTGCGGCAAGTTGGGAGAGCTCCAAGTATATCGGGACACAATGATTACGTATACAGTTTACACAGGTCAGGCACATGCGGATGAGCTCGTGATTACTATCATGTGCGCAAAGAGAGCTTGCTACCGCAAAGACCAGACCGGGGTGCAAAATCTGGCTATCAAACGATTGCAAGGAAGTTCACAGACTGAATTGGTAAATGCACTTAGTCAACCAACAATCCACTGAGAGGAATCTCCAGTGTGTTAACGATGAATCAGGCCATGATCACAGAGTTTGGGACAGAACAACTTAAAGAATTGCCCAGTCAACTGAATTTTCTTGGGCCGTGGTTGTGGGTCAAGGTTTGTGCGGAAAGTGACGACAATTTTCACTGTGTGAACATCTCATCATGTCTCATCAAGTCCTGTCCTCTCGGCCAGGACTGCATGCAGAATCACATGAGCTCGCAGGAGCACGTCCTTCGCTGCCACACGCACGAAACAGTGCCTCAGCTCAAGAGGGGGGGTGCACCAGGCTAACCTTTTAAGATATTTTTTTTGAAGGGAGAAAACTGATTGAATTGAGACATTTTTCTTTCAAATATTTTATCTTTAATATTTTTCGAGCTGAATTCATAGTGCGTTTTCGCCATGCTTGACTTTGCTCAAAATCGGTGAGATAGTGCTGCACCTGAGGTGAAAAACCTTCACATCAACGTTATTGACGAACTCTGATGCCAAAGACCGGAGCCGCGTGATCCCAAAAGTCTGCACGTGCATTGACTGCCTTTCGGAAGTGGCGCCAACACTTGCCAATACCATCCGCCTGAAACCAATGTATACTGTAGCTGCGACATGTTGCTACATGCTACTGAAAGCCGAAAGCTCATACACTTTGAACATGTTGGGACATTTTTTTTGACTAAAACTGCGCTCCTCAAGTTTAGTTCTTTGCAGAGCCCCCACGAAACAAGACCAAGGCTCCAGAGCTCAGTTTCAAGAGTGCCTTAAATTCCAAGGATTCAATTTCACGCTCAGTCTGTAAGGTGACAAGGCATGAAATGTTGGGACATGTTTGACCGTTTGACATGTCATCTCTGACATGCTTATAAATATATACATTCATATACATTGCATGTGAAGCACAGATTCGTAGGAAGTTCCATAGGTTCCAAAGCCCAATTACCCCACTTTGTGAATCAACACTTGCATTTCAAGTAGCAATGTTGTACCAGCTACTGATTTCAAACCTCCTGTGTTTGTTCAAAAAAAATGGCAGCGCTTGCGTTTCAAGTGCCCTACAGTACGTGCTTCTGGGCACAACCGTGCTTCCGGGCACGACCAAAAGGGCGCAATGGCACGTGCAACAAGGAAAGCCGCTGCACTTCAAGCTTGTGAAATTCCCACACCGTCACTTTGACACAGACAATGTTCTCAAGATTTCTCAAGTCCTCAGCACGTGACAATCAACTTCCACGTATCATTTGTCCCTGCCGACAGCCTCACAAGCACAGCTGGTCCCTGTGCATCCTGTTGCTTAGAAGCCGACAGTCTGCATAAGTTATATTATAAAGTAGCTAAATCGCTTGATCAGGCCGCGCTTTGGACAGATGCAAGTTGCCAAATTTTGCAGTGCTAATTGCTGACGCCAAAGCATTCCTTTTGACAGGAAGAAGTGCCAGAAGCTCGCAGAGCCAAGCGGAGTTCTATGTTGAGAAATACCTTGGTGGTGATACCTTGGACCGTAGGGCAAGAATTCTATATTTCTGATCTTCTGATCTCACGCGTTTGTACTAGAATCATGAATCGGGAAGAATCATGAAAAAGTTTGTACTAGAATCATGAATCTTTTTTTGCAAGAGCCAGAAGATGCAGGATGTTTGACCAACCTTGCCTCCACGTAAATCTTGGCGCAGGATCTTGTACAAATCAAGGATGCGCAGTCGCGCATCTGGGTCTGAACTGTTGTTTGAGTCGTCCTCCAGAGTCGCACAGCCTTCATTGTTGCAGAAAGGGTGCTGAATTCACACGGTCACAGGGTTCAGATTACGTTTTGCCTGTGGCACTCTGTGATGCAACATTCGAGAAACGTGTCTCGTTTCGATACTACCTACTACTGAACTACTGTGAGCAGGTAGGGTGCCGAGGAAAGCCATTTGAGGCACTGCAAATCATTTTTCTGATTGGCGTTGCAAGCCGTATGACTGCTTGTATTGTTCACCCATAATTAATTGATTTTAATCTTTCTCCGCACACACACACACATATATATATATATATGTATGTGTGTGTATAATCAGCCTTAAGCTGAGACTGGATTCTGACAACAAGACATTTTCATGAGATTGTTGCAAGTAGGAGGTGAATGAAGAAGTTGGATTCAGCGAATCCTGCGCGTTCCTTCTGCCTTCCATTGTGCATGTTTTGGCGCAGGTCCATGACTTTGGTGACAAAGGCATGGGTGTTGTGGCAGCTCGAGATATTCAAAAAGGCCTGTGTGCTAACGACTGGACAGCACATCTTTCGTTTTCCCGCCTGCACTGCTGCAGCTTCAATTACGGTGAGGTGAGTTGCTTCTTCGCGAGCAGCCCCTTTTTCTGGTAAGCCAGTGCAGGTGCCTTGAATGTGCCACTCTTTCATGATAACGTGGCAGACACGTTTGCGCGATATGATGGCCTGCGATTGGAAGCTCCCAGTTACTGTGGGGACACATTAATAGACACAGAGAGAGAGAGAGAGAGAAAGAGAGAGAGAGAGAGAGATGTGTGTGTGTGTGCATATACCAGTAGTACCGCACAAGGCGGTGGCGGAAGTTTCAAAAATAGGAAACCTATATATATAGGAGAGGTTGGTTGTTGTGAGTCACGGATGGCAGAGCGAAGCCACTGATGGACCGACAGGTGGTTGAGGTCTCTTCTATTTCTCTTTCTTTGTGTCTCTTTCTCTGACTATCTACCTACCTGCCCACCTATCTATCTATGTATCCATCTATCTCTCTCTCTCTCTCTCTCGCTCCCTCCCTCCGTCTGTGAGTCAGTCTATCTATCTATCTGTTTGTCTATCTATCTATCTATCTATCTGTCTATCTATCTATCTATCTATCTATGTATCCATCTATCTCTCTCTCTCTCTCTGTCTGTCTATCTATCTGTCTGTCTGTCTGTCTATCTGTCTATCTATCTATCTATCTACCTATCTATCTATCGATCTATCTATCCATCCATGCATCCATCCATCCATCCATCTACTATCTACCTATCTATCTATCTATCTACCTATCTATCTATATCTCTCTCTCTCTATCTAATCTTATCTAATCCAATCCAATCCAATCTAATCTAACCTAATCTAATCTAATCTAATCTAGTCTGTCTATCTATCTATCTATCTCTCTCTCTCTCTATCTCTCTGTCTATCTATCTATCTGCAAGCTTGAGAAGAAGCTATCTATCTATCTATCTATCTATCCATCCATCCATCCATCGATCGATCGATCTATCTATCTATCTATCTCTCTCTCTCTCTCTGTCTATCTATCTATCTATCTATCTATCTGCAAGCTTGAAAAGAAGCTATTCTGCGAGACTGCCTCAGCTTTTGAACTTGACAACGTCAAACACGAAGCTATTCTGGGAGACTTCTTCAATTTTTCAAGTTGACAACATCAAAAACGAAGCAATTCTGCGAGACATCCTTCAAAAATGGAAAGTTGAGTGCAGAGCGGACGGCCTCGTACCAATGCGTTTTGCGATTTTTCCAGCCCACCTGTCCAAATTACTGCGCCTGCCACGAAAAAGTGATGCCAGGTCATACGAAGTGCTGCACCTGTCACGCAAAATCATCTCAGCAAACCTGAAGATCAGAGGCTCCAAAATGCAACCCCTCTCAGGAAATCAGCACCCGGACCTCCTAACAGCTCTGATGAACATGTCTCTTGCACTGCGCCTGCCGCGGAAAATGCATCTTTGCAGATCCTCTTCAAATGTCCACAAAACCCTCACGTTTTGATCACTGTTGACAAGGTCCACAATCCCTTGCGCCTGCCACGCGAAACGACATCTGAACGTCCAAAAGTGGCGCGAACATGTGGTGTTTTTAACATTTTGCTTCGAAATGTGCTTCGCGCCACAACGGTGTGCACTTTTTCGACATCTCAACTTCCAAAAGTGGTCCGAGCATGGTATGTTTTGTACATTTTGACTTGGAAACGTGCTTCGCGCCACAAAACGGCGTGCGCTTTTTAGACATCGCAACTTCCAAAAATTGGTGTTTTGTACA